GGGCTGCCAGGAGGAGAAGTTCCTGTGTATTTGGAGACCAAGAAGAGGGGGAATTCCAAGCCAGCAACAGAATTCATACCAGACTTTTGTGTGACTGCAGCAGACTAAGGCTTTGTTTACACTTAAAAGTTTAAAATGTAGCCGACACAGCACTTTACAGCAGCAGCTTGGCAACAACAGGCATACTGGGAGAGCTCTCCCAGTGCTCCAGGTAAACCACCTCTACGGAAGGGAATAGTAAACTGCCCTGGGAACGTAGCACTAAGCGTGATGCGTTTAATGCTCAGGAACATACGTCACCCAAGGCTCCTTGACATTCCCCACCTTCTTAAAATACTGCTTGTGAATGGGCACAGCCCTTTTTCAGTGGGTAGGTCTATCTTTTGAGAACAATGACTAGGGTATTTGTAAGCCATCTTTGAAGAGCATCCTGCCCTCTACTGGGGGAAGGATGGCTTTACACAATACACTCGGCTGTCAACTAGGGATGTTAAGGACTAGTTGACTATCCCATAACATAAGCAAATGCTTATTGTATACTCCACTAGTCGTTCCCCAGCCCTTGCTGCCTCTATCAGATAGAGGGAGAACCGGGGTGGGGAGACCCAGGCTCCACGATGTGCTGCCCCTTCCAAGTGCCACCACGGCATTTCACGGGGGCAGCGCTGCATGGAGCCCAAGATCAGCTGTACAGCGCTGCCCCTTTGATACGCCACTGCAGCATTTCAAAGGAGCAGTGCCACCCTATCGACAGTCCACCAGGGCCATATCAGTTGCCTCGCTTGCAGATAACAGCACATGTGGTCCCCTTGAAGCAGATGGATCACTTCAGTGGTGGCCCTTATAGTAGAGAAATGACCTGGGTGTCAATCACAGTCCCTCCCCACAGCAACCTCTCAGAGGTTGAAAATAGTTTGGGTCCAAGCTTATGGATGTAATGGCCGTGGACATGCATCCCCACCCCCACCTCAGGGAGAATATTCATGGCTGAGCAGAGAGAGTTCTAGCATTTGTGTTCTGATGAGGTTAGACAGCAGTCCCAGCTCCGTGCTATAAGGACATTATCTTCCAATATAGTTGTTTTTTAGCACAGGGTCCTGAATGAGTTATTTGCTGCACAATTCTAAATAAACTAATATACTGATCTTCTCTCCACGGGGAAGGCCAAACTAAGGAACCCATCATGTTTTCTGTAACAAGCACTGAGAAGAGTTTTAGCCCCATATATTGTCAAAGAAAGGGCCATAGGTTACATCTGACCCGAGGTGCTTTTCAAATTCCCCTCCTCAGCTGTCACACCAGAGCATCTCCAGTGGCACTAGTGTAGATCAGTTGCTGCTGTTTTAACCACCATATCGTAAGTCTCTGCTCACAGCAAATGCTGCACTGACTTCACCAACTTACTGCATAACTTAGGCAAGACACTCAAGCCACCACAAAATCTGTGTGCCTTCATTTTTGAGATGGCAATTGGAACCCTTAATTCTTTGAGCTATGAAGCACCTATCGCTCCTGTTGAGCTCAGCAGGAGTTATTAGAGTCCATCTTTGAAAATCAGACCCCAGGAATCTCATGTTGAATACCCCAAACTCATAAGGTCTATTGAAAACATTGATCGGATGTGCCTCAGTTTACCCTTATCCAAAATCTTGTCTACAACTGCAGCTGTGTCAGGTGGGTGGCATCTTGTAAAGCATTATGCAATCCCTGCATGGAAGGGCATATTGTGCATTATATTATTTTAGTAACAAGAATTTGCCCAATCCCACTGTGGCACCCACATTGTATTTAGTGCTCTTTAGGTGGCCCTTGCTAAGCAACTGTGTGGGAACACTGCCATTGTAGCATACTGTTGCGAAGGTATTGTGCATGCTGCAATTAAGAGTCACTGTGAAACATCATTGTTTTTAATCTGTTTACTGAGAAATCTATGACAACCCTCATTTTCCATCAGACTCAGTAAGGAGCATGACATTTTTACCCAGACCTGTGCTCTATCCACATCTGGCCTGGAGTGTTTGGTAACTGCAGTTCATCAGTCTAGACACTTTGGCTAGGTCTACACAGCAGTGTTATTTCATGAGGAGTAAGGGAAGAGTGTTCTTCCTTTGACTGCCTGCTGTGTAGACAGCACCAAAAGCCGAATTAAGCTATTTCAACTTCAGCTATGCAATTGCAATAGCTGAAGTTGTGTAACTTAATTCAACTGTAGCCCAGCAATGTAGATGTGCCCCCAGGCTGTGTCTACACTGGCGTGATCTTGCGCCAAAGTGGCCACTCTTCCGCAAAAACATGCTGCCTGTCTACGCTGGCCTCTTGCGCAAGAAGAGTTGCGCAAGAGGGCTTATTCCTGAGCGGGAGCATCATAGTTCTTGTGCAAGAAGCACTGATTTCACACATTAGCACATCAGTGTTCTTGCGCAAGAACTCCCCGCCAGTGTAGACAGGCAGCAAGTTTTTGCACAAAAGCACCCACTTTTGCGCAAAATCATGCCAATGTAGACACAGCCACAGTGTTTAAAAGAAAGTGAGAAAAGCATCTGGCCCAGTTTTGACATCAGCTGGCCCCTTGGGTTCCTTGCTGTGCAGGGGGAATGGTAGCAATGAAGCATGAACTTTTCACTTTTGGGTCAATCAAGATCAGGTGTAATGGATTTACTTTTGCTACATGCCACAAAGCATCTGTGGGCATGACTGCTGCACACACTGCAGCTACCCAAGGCACTTTTCAGGACTACTGGACACTGAGTCTGGACTTGGGAGTTATTCTGAGACTGTAGGGCCATACATTCATTTTTTTTCTTGGCATGGGGGGGGGGGGGGGGGGAGGGGAGAGAAGAGGAGGGGCACTGGACTCATCCTCACAAGGGCCCATCCCTATTATACTCAGGGACAGGAGCAAAAGGAATTTAATTTCTTACAGGTACTGACCTATCACAACCCAGGTCTCTGCCTGCTCTTTAAATAGCTCCCTGCTGGCTTTTGCCACAGCTGTGCACCCCCTTACTTTCACCTTTTTGTACCTTTTTTGGCAAGGGTGCCTCTAATTGAGGCAAACAGGAGAAAGATGGTAGAGCTAGGTAGTCCATCAATGCTATCACATGGTAATCACAGCTTTACAGTGCATCTGACAAGCTCCACCAGCTCATTTGCAACCATTAAACAAAGGATAAATTGCAATCACAGGAAAAATAATAAAATAAATCTAAAGAATAAAGCAGGGCTACAGCATTCCTTCCAGATTACAAAGGGAGAAAGCCTAAATTTGGGAACATATGAAAGCACATATCATAGGAACTCTAGGGATTAAAAGCAGAATGACAGCCATTGTAAAATTACTTCTACAGCTCAGCATAAAGCCGAACTGCAGCATTTAATAATGTTAGCATTTCAATGGCTCCACCTCTGTTAAGATGTGGACTCTCCTTACAGGAATGTGCTGGGGCCTGGAATTCATTTATCACTGCTGGTTAACTGTTTAGCTCCAAACAGTTTTCCAGCAGGCAAGGGAAGAGAGAGCAATTGTGTATCACCTGCATTGCAAGTGCTCCACAGAGGGAAAAGAAACAGTTTATTTTTCAATTCAATCCAATGCAAGAAGAGCATAATCTTAAAAGGAATGGACCAAGGCACAAATGAGCAAATATTCTTGTCTGGCATTGCCCCAAATTAATTTCTCCTTCAGATCTTTTTCTTTTCACAATTTCTAGAGTATTTTTAAATACGTTTCTTAGATTCCTCAGGACTTACTCTCCCTCACTACTGCCACATGCTTTGTTAACTTAAGGAAACCAGATTCCTAGCCTAAGAGCCTATTGATAACATATCACAAACCCTTTGATAAGTTCTAAAAGTTGTTCTAATACATCACACATGTAGATATACAAAGGCTTAAAAATACAGGTGAGTCCCATCTAGTCTCTGCCAGTGACTAGCTATGATAGTCCTATGTTCTCCAAAAAGTCTAGCTATTAACCAATCAGAAAATAAAAGTATTTAACAAGAAGGGATGAGGGACAGAACACTGATTTGCACTTTGAATGTAACCTTCCTGGTCATTCTCTGCATTGCATGTGATTGTATTGGCCAGATAGAGGGTATCCCATCTTCCAGCTCACAAGATCAAGACCATTGATGGCTTGTGACAAGAGATACATGCCACAGGAAGCAAGTTTCCATCAAGTCACTTCTGTTTGTCCCAGTCTTTCCACTGATTGCAATCTGACCATGAATATTAGATACGGGGGTCCCCCTCCTGGCTACCATCATTTCCCTAGTAGTTTTCCCTAGCTGCCTAAGCTTCCAAAATATGTGTTGGCCTCATCGGATACTTAGGCTAAGTCTACACTCAAAACATTAAAAGTACTTTAAAGTGGAAGTATGGCCATTGCACCAGCACAGGGAGAGAGTTCTCCCCAACACTATGTAAACCACCTAAACGAGGAGTGCTACTCTCCACGTTGGGAGCCAATTTACACTGGTGCTTTACAACATTAACTTCCTACACTTTTGGGTGTGGGGAGGGATGTTTTTTCCACATCCAAGCCAGAAAGATGCAGCCCAGTAAAGTGGCATTGTAAGACATGGCCTAATATTCAGACAAGGCTGTGACTGAGACCCTATGTCAGTGGCCTTCCAACTTTTGTACTGCTAACTCCTTCCAGATAAACATTTGTGCAACCTGTCCCCCACCTTTTAAATATATGAAAAGGGGTTTTAATACCATTATAAATGCTGGAGGCAAAACAGGGTTTGCTGGGGATGTTGACAGCTTGCAACCCCTGCCACAATCTCATGACCCCTGAGGGGTCCCAATCCCAGGAGTTTGAGAATTCCTGCATAGATAATAGCAGGGATTCTAGGATACAAGTGAGACTGACACCTCGTTACTACTACTGTAGCTAATCTGTCTGTTGCAAAAGCACAGTAAAGGACAGTAGCACCTGCTACACATGTCTGTTTCCTAGACTGCTAGATGAAGAAATAAGTGACAAATAGGGTAATGCAAAATAATCATTTTATTTAAAATAAAAAGCAACAGTCATCTTGACAAAACAATTAAGACCATCACAGCTCTGCCTGGCAGAGGACAGATAAAAGCAGTTAGTGGCAGTGATAGGGCTTGTAACTGTCAAATGAATCAGAAGGCTCCATTGCTCCTCCAAAGAGGAACACACAGCACTGTCTCTGGAAGTCCAGTGAGCACAGAGGTTTCACAGTGCCACCCATCTATCCCCACAGGATGGCTAGGGATTCAAGAAGACGTCTTTCTAGGAAGCAGTTGGGAGAAGCTGGCATTAATCTGATCACAGAGAAAGGAGGAAGGGAAGCCACAGGCTGCCCCTGCCCTATGTATATGGAGCAGGTATCTTCAAAGAAATTAGCAAAGTATGAACTGTAGCTATATTTCAGACAAGATTTCACCAGTCACTTACTTTAACCTGGAGCAAGGGAAGAGGGGATAAAACTGTTTCACATCAGCTGCTAAATGGGGGGGGAGGGTTGGAGGAGAGGAGAGGGAAACCCACAACACAAAACAAACAGTCCCAGGTCTCAGATGTTGATTGACTAAATGGAAAGAGAGGATAGCAAAGCTGACATGCAGTAGCAAATCTGGGATCCAAATTCAGCAAGTTTAGGCACCAATATCTTTTTATCCCAGAGTTCGAAGAAATCTACTTCTACATTTGGCACAATTCACTAAGTGGGCACTGCTGAAGTCATCGCTGACCAAGTGCCCAGAAGCACTGAACCTTTGTGACCCCAGCACTTGTTAGTGGGAGGAGCTAGTGCTAATTTTGAAAGCATTGTCCAACCTGCTTAAAAGGGCTCAGCCATATTCAGTCATTTGTAACACCTTTTGCAGAAGGACCAAAGTGTTTTACAAACATCAGTTCAACCAAAGTTCACAACATCCCTGCAAGGTACATATCCATTCTTTCATAGGAGAGGTCACCTTAGCTCTTTGGCTAAGGTCACAAAGCATGGAAGCAGTGGACCTAAAAAGACAACCCAGCAGTCCTAAGTAAGGCTGGCTGGAAAACGAGAATTCGGTTTCACCAAAAATATTGAGGTGCATTTCACATTCCAGCAGGCTAGTCAATCCCTTTCTCTTGCTCTCTGCTGTTGAAGCTGTTCCAATTTGTATAAATCATAAATTATTCAGCAGATAATTGCCTACTGCTATAGGCATGTGATTAAGGACACACCAGGGATACAGGAAACTCAGGTTTCAAGTCCCAATTTTTAGGCAAAGACCTAAACTCTAGGTCTCCTGCATCACAGGTGCATGCCTTGGCTATTCGGAGTCTGTGTGTCTAGTTTTGAGTAGAAATTCTATCCTATAGTTAAGGAACCTTCCCAACAAAATTTTCATCAGACCCAATATGCAGAGTCAGCCTGTTCCGATGAACATTTCTGAGTATCTCTAGTTCAGAATCCCAGCCATTGTACCAGGTTGCATGAACAAAGCCAATACTTCTCAGGTGAGGCAAAGGATGGCTTTGTGGAAGTCATTTACAGTTGCTGACATTACCTATTTTCAAATGTTACCTTACAGACCAGGGCTATTCAACATGCGGCCCACGGTGTAGGTTGGGTTTAGGTGCAGTTTGGGTTGATATGCATTTTAGCAGCTAAATTCCAGGACAGTCATTACAAGTGCTGTCATATGGGTGGAAATCAATTAAATATTGCAGTTTATTAATATGAGCAGAACTGACTTAAATGGGGCCTGTGTATTGTATAGTCTTGCCTTAATTTTTGTATTCATGCCCATAAGTGTGAAAGTAGTATTTGCATATATTTGCATGTGTGTGCAACCACACTTAAGTTGCGGCCCTAGGCATGTATTGCAAGTATCATTGTGGCCCCAGGGGCTTCCATAGTTGAGTAGCCCTGTTACAGACCATTCAATACAAGGAGACTGTTTTTGTTTTAATTGACAGCTTTATTGTCACACTGCTGATCTATTTGTTCATAGGCATGGAGAAGTGCTCTGCACTTTGGAGCACCAGACTGTGCTATTGCTGGAAAAGGAGAAGCTTTCTTGGCAGTGGGAGGCAGGTTGGTTTCCCCATGTCAGACTTCAAGGGCTCAGGATCAGATTTCTTTCATACAGCTGTACTTCATCTTAATATTTTACTGTAACCATGCTGCTCAAGAGAATGACCTCTGAATCAGGCAATGGCCCAAACCACAGCCCTAAGAGCTTTGTAATTCCCATACTGTTAGGAGGGGAATACCCTCCTCAGCCTGTAGCCATCACAGCCCCCTATTTGTTCTAAGAGAAGCTTTCAGCCTGCTCCATTTTTATGAAGGTAGCCTGCAGCAGGCTTTGGGCAAGCTGCCAATGTGCCCCTTGGCCAGGGAAGCAGGATGGTTTTGACACAAAACTGCCTTTAGATCCAAGCAGCCTTAAGGTAGAGTCCGCTGCAGGAAAGACTGCAGCAGTTTTGAAAAAAGTCTGCATGGTTGTTTTCCCACTGCCACAAATGCACCCCTTGATTTCCTGCTTAGAGATGTACTGATGCACCACTTGCCTCACCCACAAACTCACTTCCATTTCTCTGCTACATAAAAGTGACTGGCACAAAGGAGACTTGGGAATGAGGGTCTGTATTGCTGATGAGCCAAGATAGGCAGGGCTCACTTTTACAACAGATTGTGTCTTGTCCTGAGATGGGAGAGGGATCATAAATAGTAAAAGACAACATTAAAAACAGCATTCAGGGGGTCTACTTTAATATACTGCATACAGATAATTCAGTTAAGTCTGGCAAATTCAGCCATTAGTGCAGTGGTCCCAAAACTTTTTACCTCATGGCCTCTCTTCTCTACCCAGAGCTGGCAGTGAGGCTGTGGCTCCAGCTTTGGGAGAGGGGACCCACAGACAGGCGTAAAGCGGCCAAGGGTGGGGCAGGGCAGGAATGGACTGTCAGATGAGGACCGAGGCCTGCAGCTGGGGGCTGTGATGCACAGTGCTCCTCCACCCCTTGTGAGGACTGGTCCAGGCCCCAACTGCAACCACCTGAATGTTATTCTGTAGCCCCTGAGAGGGTGCGCCCCACAGACTGAAAATCTTAGTGCCTAGGCATTACCGCTTATGACAGAGAGTGCAATGTCCCTCTATTTTCAGTTCTCACACCCAAACAGCAAGACTGAAATGAAGTAAATCCCTCATCAGTTAGCGCTCAGGAGGGTGCAAAGAGAGATAGCCCAATTAGCTGGCTTTTGGGTGCAGTGTTCATATCAGAGAAAAATGGGTATTTCTCTGCCCCTCCCAAGCACAGCCCCTAAGGTGGCTAGGAGCAGGTTATGGGAAAGCTTTAACGCACAGGTCCTGATAAATTAATCTCAACCATCACAGTAGACTGCTTGGGGATGAGTGTTTATCTTGGCACAATACCACTGTATGAAACCAAGCATCACATATTATTTTAAAATGTTTAACACAAAATACCCACCCCTCCTTTACTATTTTCCCCCTACAGCTAAGGTTCATGGGTAGCTTGATAGACAGCGACTTCTAGTATGCAAACCACACACCTCTTGTACCTTCAAGCTCCAGTACTACACCCAAGTGCCAGTTCATCTTTTTAGACTTAACATGGCAAATACTAAGCATAAGTAAGTATGATCATTGCTGGGTAAGGTGTAACTATGCTATTTTGGCTTCGAGTGTACATAGATTAATAAGACCACAAAAGGTGCTTCCAACAGTTAGTCATTTCTCATCATTTGAAATCACTTCAGTGTTCAGAATACATAACAGAGTCTGTCTCCCTTTCAGCATTCCAGTACCGTATTCACTGGATGTCAGTGTAGAGAAAAGGTACCAAGATCCTTTCCTAGTTTTATCAGTACAAATAAACATATGACAGTATCAAAGCAGGGTAGGTTTCCGGATGTAGCTTCTGGTTTTAAAACAGTTCTTTAAAAGCAGGTATCAGACTTTTCCTTGCCAGTCTCATGAACTGTAAGAAACATGGCATGTCCTTGCCCAGAGCTGGGTTATTTTCAGGTCATTTAGTGCATTTACTTGGGGGCACAGAAGTGCACTAAGCATTGCACAATAATTCAGACGTGGGAGCCCCCCTCCATTAGTTAGCAAAGAGTCATCCTTAGTCAGCACATGATGGAAGATAGGAATTTGGATCAAAGTAGAACTGGTGAAAACTTGAGAAAGATCATATTTGTAGATAGGAGCTATGGGGTAGAACAGAGCTGGCTGTTAATGAAGCTTCAAGTGGCAGATGCTTCTAGATGGTTCTTGTTGTCTCAAGGATGAGCACGGCTTCCGCAAGAGTCCCTAATCCTGTCAAAAAGAGTACAACTGCCTGTCAGGACTATAACCTTTCCTCCAATAACACAATGCAAGACAGCAGCATGCTAGTTAATGAAAGGACTAAGGGTTTTTTTTTTTTATAGAGCTGACAACAAGCTTGACAAGGCTTAGAAACAATTCTGCTTATACTGACTGTATTCCTCATCAAAACTGAAGAACTCTCAGCCAGCACTAGAGTATCACCTAAGGATATTAAGCCAAGCATGAGCTGCAACACAGGCAGGTCTGGAAGAGACATCTTGGAAACAAAGAGGGTTCTTGGACAAGGTGCTAACTTATAAAAGTCTTTATCAAATATTAAAAATAACATTTTCACTGCAAGAGACTGAACAAAAGGGATGGAGCTCTGTAATACAGCTTGAATTTCTAAGAGACCTGTGTTCATTACCTTCTGCTGCTTATTCTCAGCCTTAAGTAAGAACTGTCTGCTAGGACTGAAAATTGGGAGTGAGATTAGAACCTCAGCTGGGAAAGAATGTACTAGTTCATCAACTCCAAACATTTAAGGAGAGCTTGGTGTTTGGACTCAACTCCATAGGACCTGCATACAACTCAAAGATAATAGAGGTTCAGTTGAGTGCTGTGTCACTGAAAGTTAGATAGCTGTATACCTCAAGACAGCAGACAAGGGCCTACATAGGCACATTGGCCATATCTGGTAAGCAAGGTTGCTCCGACTGGGATTATGTGCTTTCCTGCTAATTCATCACAGAGCTTGCAACCTCAAGACAGATTCAGAGCAACCCAAAGTCTGTGATGAATTATTACAGGATGCATAAATTAATATGAGGTGGTGTGTGGTTAACTTGTATGTTTTACCAAAGGGAATCAGGAGGAGGATGGTATTTAAATCCAGCATTTTGCCAGAGATTTTTAGTAGTAAATATCTCCTAAATGCCTAACATTTTTCTGATCTTTCTTACCTTGGAGCCCATGGATGGGAGAAAGAACCTTTTCCCAATACATTCATACCAAGGGAAGTCTGTTGTCATTTATTTAAAGAGTCTCCCTCCACAAATCAGCTAAAATCTCAGTCTTGGACATAGCCTTTTTTAAGTGTTAAAACAAGGCCTTAGAGTGATGTTTGTATAATCTGTTAATTCTTACAAAAATTGAATAGTAGGCAGAAGTAATCTGGCAACAGTGAAGAAAGAAAAACTAAGTATACAGTTGCTTGAAGCTTTTCAGTTAGACAATCAGGTGATCAAGCCTTGTACTCTGCTGGTTATTCCTCTCCTTGCCAATTTATCACACAATTTTGCTCCTCAATGGGCACAAAAATCGGATATTCTGTATTCCCCAAATCATAAGGCCTCCCCCATCAATCAAAGCATGCCTTCTACATTCAAAAAAATAATGAGGAGAAAGTTTTAAAACGGTTTATTAAATAACGTAAAATTTCTCCTTGGCACTTTCTTTTTTGAAGAGAAAAATCTTAGGTTCCTGTTTAGAGCAGGCCAAAGTAATTAGAATTGTGGAGGAGAGGATTATCACCAGTGGCAAGCTGTTTCAGAATCTAGGCAGTCCCCTCAGCCTCTACACCCCTCTATTCCATCCCATGCATGATGGAACAACCTAAACTAACCCAGCCATCTGTGCCTTAAAATATTTTTTGCTTTGAAAAAACAGAGCTGTCACATCTGGTCACCTGGAGGAGCTGCGTTCTTTGCTCACACAGTCATCTTGAGAGGTAGTGTCACCATTACCCATCATGCTGCAGGTTCTCCTTTTTTTCCTCCTATGCGTCATCCCTTCAGTCTCAGAGCCAGAATCACACTAAATACAGAGACAGACAAAATAAAAGTAAACCAATGCAGGAAAATACAAGAATTCAGTTATTAAATCAGAAGATCCAACAGTTAACCACACCTGTGCTAGTGCAGGTTGACTCTCTCAAGCTTGGCACTCTCTGGTGTGGCAACACCAATGGTCCAGCGTGATTTTAGTTCTCCGGATGTCCATTTATTAGGGGTGTGGCCAAGTTTCCCATGGTCCCAGCAAATTTGTTTACAGCCACCAGTCCTGGCTCAGTGTTTTGAGCTGTTACTTAGCTCTAGTTTACCCCTAAATGTCTTTTCAGAGTTCAGTAAGTAGAAGAAGTGTTAGCAATGCTGCTAAACAATTCTAACCTCCCATTTGGCAAATTCTTTGGTTCAGCTTTGGTCAGATTCAGAGGGTGCTGGATTAGAGAGGTTTAACCTGTACAGTCACCAGAGAAGTTATCATGAAGCTCTGGGGAAGAACATGTATACTTTATTCCAAACATACTCTATTGTATAAAAAGGACTAAGAACTAGAACTTCTAGATCTGTTCCCTGCCTTGCCACTCACTGCAACTATAATTAGACTAAGATTTTCAGGTACTCCAATCAAGCATCCAAAGGCTCCAGATTGTCATACCGAGTGGTTAGCATTTTCTGGTAAATCAAGTCATTTACGATGTCTCAAGTTGGGCAAACAAAATTAGTCACTTCTGGGGAAAAAAAACAAAAAAAACCCCAAAAAACAAAAACCTTGGCACTAGCTCTGTGCCCTTGTTCCCCATCAGACAATAAGGACAATTTTACTTGTCTATTTAAGGCAACACAGAAGTTCATAAAATGAATAAAAAGCCACAGTTAAAAGGTTCTGTGCAAGTACAAGCCAGACAAATTTTCTCAAAGGCTGCAAAGGTTGGTGGCAACTCAAACTCACCTCTCTCCCACTAAGAATTTTTAAGCATTTTCTCATTCAGGTTTCTCTGAACACCTGAGAGAATTGGTTATAAGATACAGTAAGAGTCAATTAATAAATATAGCTATTCAGTGGCAGGGCAATACTGTGAAGGATGGGAAAGAAAATGAGAAGGGTGTTTCCAGGTATCAGAACGTGAAGAGTGTGTGGAATAAGGGACCAAACAGAACTGGAGAGGAGGCAGGTCCTATATGAGTCCCTTCTCATGGGTGAGACAAGGCCCCAAAGAAGTTGGAGCATATCCATATGACTTAAAAGGTAAGATCTGCAAGGAGCTGGATGCCAAAACAAAAATGGGAAATCAGAGGAACCATTAGAAGATTGTGCTGCCTTTTTTTTTTTTTTCCCCTCCAAACCAAATATACAGAGCATAAAAAGTTTGGGTAGCAAAGAGAATCAGGAACATCTCAAAGCCAAACTTGTTTTGAAATGGGTCACCCCTCACAAAAGACTAAAGCTGTCATCAAGACCCTTTATACTTGCACACAATTATCCTCTGCAGTTTAAGATTTCACACTGTAGTCTAACATTTATTCAGCTTTTATCTTCAAATTCACCTGAGAGTTGAGAATCAGGAAGATTGTTGTTTTTTGTAAAAATATGTACAAACAGATACAACTCTTTTGATAGTGATTGAAAAGAGTAGTGTAGTTCATGAGAGAAGAATCATCTGCACCAGCAATCCTTACCTCTGAATCAGAGTCCGAGGAGCTGGAGCTAGAGGAACTAGAGGAATCACTGGAACTATCAGAAGCGATTCCTGTTGATTCCTGTAGATCAACTGAATCAGCCAATACTGCCAGTTCAGGATGCTCCTGTTTTAGGATCCTAAATACAATAATCATGATTAGCGTTTAGAACACATACTGAGAAACAACTGAATGGGTGCAGTGTGATTTTAATTTACACCAGCATGTTAATACATCCCCTAGCATTGTGCAACTTTATGCACTCTAGTTCTTATGGCTTTTTATAGTTTTCATTGTTATTTTACTCTCAATTTAATATTTTAATACAGAAAATCAAAAGAGAGGACATTAACATTTCTAAGGTCCTCCTGAAGGGAGAACGGAATTAGTAGCAACAACAGAGTTACCTTTAAAAACAGAATAAACTGTGCTTGTATTCAGAGGCTATTGGTGAGAAAGAGAACTAATTTAAACATTTCCATAAGATACTAGGATTTGGACACTGGAAAGCACTAGAAATATATATTAAAAAAACATATGAAACCTTTCACTTCCAGATTACATGGATAAACAATAGCCACTTCAAAAGTGACCCAAAGTTGTTGAAACAAAAAACAGGACTGTGTAGCACTTTAAAGACTAACAAGATGGTTTAATAGGTGATGAGCTTTCTATCACTAAAGTTGTTGCTAATTTATGACTAGTTAAACTGAATCTCAGCAGTTCCCACAAGAGCAGTGTCAATGTCAGAAGAACCACCATCACAATTAGCCAAAGACCAGTTTGAATGGGAAGAGATATTCTCACCACAGTAGTAATCTCTGCAGATCAGGAGAAAAGACACATCCTTTCTAGGGAATAGAGGACTCCCATCTCCATGCCCACTAACATAAATCCTTTCACTGATCCTAAATTCCCCTTAAAAGCTTAAAGCAGCAAATCCCAGCATATCGGTTCATCTAGCACCTGCTTAAAAAAAACTGAACTAACTAACGGAACGTCAAGGTCACATAGCACCAGCGGAACACATACCACATGCTAAGAATCCCTGACTTAGAGCATTAGTTTAATGACCTACTGCCTCTACATTTTATCATGCTTGGATCCTTAGTTTCATGCATGTCATTTAACTCATCAACTCAGCCATGCAAAAGGTGAAATCTTTGTATCAGAGCCTTCCCCAGGTAGCAAGACTACGTGCACAGGGGAAAGAGCTGAGAAAAGTTGCTGTAAAAAGCAAGACATAGGTTAGAAAACTTGTGTTTTCCCCTAGGAAAGTCGTACGTGAGTATGTACTGTTAGTGTTACACCAGCTGCATATCTTGTTTTGAAAGAAAATGTTTGGACTATCACTTCAACTGCGTGGAAATTAGAAATATGAACAGAATGTTCTGCACCATTACCTGTACCACTTCCTTGATAATTTTGGCCTTCCTCTTACTGTCTTGTGCCATACCACTGGGAAGTTGGTACAGCTGGCAAAGTTCTGTGTGATAGCAATGGTTGTATCGAGATTGAGAACTACGTGCCACCAGCCACCTACAAAATGCAATGCAAGAGCAACTTTTAAATATACTTTCTTATACTGTTTAGCTAAAGTATTGTAGATACATCTAGCTAAGGTACTTATATGGTCCCCATTGCCACAGTATCTGAGCATCTTGCAGTCTTTAATGCGTTTGCCCTCAAATTTGCTTCAACAAACCCTAGTATTATTATATTACAGATGAGAATATGAGGCACTGAGAGATTAAGAGGCTACCTCAAGTCAAACAAGGTGTCTGTGGCTAAGCAGAAAGAATCAAGTTCAGATCTAAGTCCCAGGACAGGGTCCTAACCACTGAAATATCCTCTCTTTTGAGACAGAATCAGCAATAGCTAATAGAGCCCACATTATGGAGGTGGGGTTGCATGAATGTTAAGAACTTTCTCTTGTTATGAATGTGTGTGTGTGTCTGTGTGTGTATATATATATATATAAATAAATAAATAAATTCATAACTATCGTGTTAAGAAAGTTACCAATCCTTGTAAAAAGTTTCACCAATACATTTATAGTACAATAAAATAGTATGTAATCAGTTAATTCAACTGCTCATTTTAGGGATTTAAATGTTTTGTTTTTCTTTTGAGTGTCTGGATCCTGATTGTGGAAGTATGAAGGTGTGACATTCTGACATCTTCCCTGTAGAGTGACAGCTTTCACACATACTCAGCTAAAGCAATATACAGAAGGCTGCCTGCAGGCTGTTTTCCTAATTCTCTTATTTCAGAATTCCCCCTGGACTAAGCCCCTATTAAAAACTGTAATCCCTTGGCTCAGTACAGTATTCTTCAAGTCCAGTGAGAGAACCTTCCAGCATACTCCCAAGTCAAATCTTCATTTTTGATTAAGTGGCATTTGGCTGTCTGGCAACTGACAGCTTGCTTAACTGCAAATGCCATAGTAACCCAAGCTGCACAAAGCTCCAATGTCTAACTGCAGATCAATTTTCATCCTTGAGAGTTTATCATCTTAAAGAGTTTCACTACTTCTTTATAATAGAGGTTTTTTTTCCATAAAGTGGTGAAATTAGAGACTGAAGTTCATATGATCATGTCGCAAACTCAAAAAAAAAAAAAAAAAAAAAAAAAGAATAAAGCCTGGATTTATAATGGAAACTAGGGGGCTGCATCCCCTACTCACTACACTCACCAACCCCCTCTCAGCAGGGAAACTCCCGGGGCTGAGGCTGCCCTGGCCCAGATCTTCCAAGGCCATCTCAGACCTGGTTCTTCCCCCTACCTCCAGCTGCCAGGGATGGGCGGAACCACATTGAGCCCAAAAAAAAAAAGAATAAAGCCTGGATTTATAATGGAAACTAGGGGGCTGCATCCCCTACTCACTACACTCACCAACCCCCTCTCAGCAGGGAAACTCCCGGGGCTGAGGCTGCCCTGGCCCAGATCTTCCAAGGCCATCTCAGACCTGGTTCTTCCCCCTACCTCCAGCTGCCAGGGATGGGCGGAACCACATTGAGCCCATCAGCAGGCTGGGGGAGTGAGGAGGGGAGGGCGAGGTCAGGCCATCCCTGGCTCTCCCCTCTTCCCCAGCAGCCCTGGCTCTCTTCCCTTGGCCACTGGGGGTGGGAGGGGTGTGGGGAGGCAAGGCCAGGCCCCCCCCCCAGCAGCTGGGGGGGAGGGGTTGGGCTGGGCCCAGCCAGAGGCCACAAGACTCCTACCACCCCCAGAATGGAGTGGGGCAAGAGGGAGGCCGCATGGCTCCCCAGAACACCAGAGGAGGGGGGAGGCTACGTGGCTGAGGGAGGGGCTGCGGGAGGCAGAGTGACACATTACGTCACTGTCATCCCACAGGAAACATATGTGTGTGTGTGTGTGTGTGTGTACACACACACACACACACGGCTCAAAAGCCTTCTTAATGAAGTAATAAAAACACATTACGTGCCAAATAAAACACTGCTAACATGAAAATACTACCCCCATTTCGCTGAAAAGTAGACAAGCATAGAGGAGGAGATAAAGGATTTGCTCAAGGTCACATACCAAGTCAGGAACAAAATACTAGAATTCAGGTGTCAAATTCTCCTGCTCTATCAGAGAGATGTACTCCTTCCCCTCACAATTAAAGGAGGTATAGGTCTGCATCAATTTCATAAAAATGTTATGCCCTTTTAATAGAGAAACTTTTAGAAGCTACAACATAACCTTGCATTTGAAATTTAAGTCATGGATTGAAGTAGATGGATAGTGTCTGTCTGCACCTTTGCATGACTCTTTCCTCATACCTCCTGTCATTTGTTATGCTGTCAGCAACAGCAAGGGAGAATAAGAGAAAGTTACGGTCTTCAAAAAGATCTCTGGTCTTCCATGCTTTACTTCCTCACTGTATAGCAGCGTTTCCCAAACTAGGGTACTGGGCCATGGGAAAAAAATAACAGGCCTCAGTGTGGCTGCCAGTAGGGGAGCAGAGTGGGGCAGGCTAGGAGGAGGTGGCGGCAGGTGGGGAAGGGAGAACCGGCCGCCAGGCAGAAGGGTTGGGGGCAGCGGGACTGACCTGGGCACATGCAGACCCTACAGACCCTGGCAGAGGAGTGAGTCTGCCTGCGGATTCCATCCACCCTCCACCCCCAACATACCCTCCCTTGAGTAGTTGCGAACTGCCTGGCAGGTAGACACTCAGGCAGCGTGATCTACTATCCAGGCAGTTCGCAGCTATGGACTGATACACCTAATTATAATAAAACTTACCTAATTAGAAAATACCAGACATTTTATATGCAAATAAATATTACTGGTCCTCCAAAAACTTGTGAATGGATTTACTGGTCCCCGTGTTTAAAAGTTTGGGAACCCCTGCTGTACAGTTTAGCTCAGGATCACTTCCCGAGACATCCAACATTACGGATGTTAGAAATTGTATAATTGAATAGTCACGTAATTGCATAAATATTATCAGTTATACAGCTATTCGATAGTGTAACTGATAATATTGGGGGGCAGAGCCAAGAACCAGTGTGCTCCGGCTTATGGATTAATCGTTTACTCAACTATACGCTAACATCCCTATAACATGTAGTGTGCTACGTTCCACTTGTTATGCCATCAATTCCTTGTAACAGGGGACCATGCATGGTACTTACGTTTTGGATATTCAGAGCGCAGCACAAAATGGTTTGGAACAATGTTCTATAGAATTCAGTTTTTGAGAATGAGGGCCACGTGAACAAGCTTGGATTCTCTCTCAACAAGGATACATCTAAATATGTGTTCTCTCATGCTACCTCAGATTTATATTGGAGACAGTCACACATACCTGGCACAAAGACGGTCTCGCCTGGTTTCTGCACAATTTCCAGGGGTTTAAATTCAGGAGGCCAGGTAGGGAGCTGTGTCCTAGGGTATATGATACTGAACCAAGTGATGGCTTCATCTTGTTGATTCCCTCCTTCTTCCCGTGTCACTTTGATCAACTCTCTGGGAGTACTGGTAGGGAAGAGGCACCAGCGCTTATGTCCATGAACTAAGGCATTCCAAGCACTGGTGCCCAGAGGATCAATATGAATTCCTGTTCCTGATCGGGGTGGGCCCATTACAAACCATCTGCACATGGGAGAAAAAACATCCAGGAGCATTACAAGAAATAATTGCTTTCTTCTAGAATCATAGAACACTAGAACTGGAAGAGATCTTGAGAGGTCATCAAGTCCAGTCCCCTGCCCTCACGGCAGGAACAAGCACCATCTAGATCATCCTTGATAGATGTCTATGTAACTTGCTCTTAAATATCTCCAAAGATGCAGATTCCACAACCTCCCTAGGCATCTTATTCCAGTGTTTAACCACCCTGACAGTTTTTCCTAATGTCCAACCTAAACCTCCCTTGCTGAAGTTTAAGCCCATTGCTACTTGTCCTATCCTCAGAGGCCAAAGAGAACAATTTTTCTCTCTCCTCCTTGTAACACTCTTTTAGGTAACTTTCCGTTTGGTTAAGCAAGCATGTTTCTTCCATTTTAACCTGCCCTTGAAATTAACATGGATCTTTATATACTTCTGCTTGCGCACCAGAAGCAGAGTTGGCAGTAAAGCATGACTATAGTGATTGTTTATTTTAATACTGCAGGAAAAGGTGCATAATGTTTTTGCCTAACTTAAGCACAACCAAAATCTCACTGAAAGTCTAATAGTAAACTTGACCGGAGTAACAATTTGAAAATTTGAAGGCATTTTACAGCATACAACACGGCTCTAACTTAGCCATTCTTCTCAATTTACAGATGAGGAAACAGTGGCACAGAGCAAATTGTGTAATGTCACATAGCAAACCTGTTCCACGAGCTGGTAACAGAACCCATGAGTCCTTTCTCTCAATTTTCTCTAATCCTCTCAATTTTGTATTTGTAGGATAATCTTTCATAGAATCATAGGACTGGAAGGGACCTCGAGAGGTCGAGTCCAGCCCCCCGCCCTCAAGGCGGGACCAAGCTCCGTCTACACCATCCCTGACAGATGTCTATCTAACCTGTTCTTAAATATCTCCAGAGAGGGAGATTCCACCACCTCCCTTGGCAATTTATTCCAATATTTGACCACCCTGACAGTTAGGAATTTTTTCCTAATGTCCAATCTAAACCTCCCCTGCTGCACTTTAAGCCCATTACTCCTTGTCCTGTCCTCAGAAACCAAGAGGAACAAATTTTCTCCTTCCTCCTTGTGACACCCTTTTAGATATTTGAAAACCGCTATCATGTCCCCCCTTAATCTTCTTTTTTCCAAACTAAACAAGCCCAGTTCATGAAGCCTGGCTTCATAGGTCATGTTCTCTAGACCTTTAATCATTCTTGTCGCTCTTCTCTGTACCCTTTCCAATTTCTCCACATCTTTCTTGAAATGTGGCGCCCAGAACTGGACACAGTACTCCAGCTGAGGCCTAACTAGTGCAGAGTAGAGCGGCAGAATGACTTCACGAGTTTTGCTTACAACACACCTGTTGATACAACCTAGAATCATATTTGCTTTTTTTGCAGCAGCATCACACTGTTGATTCATATTCAATTTGTGGTCCACTATGACCCCTAGATCCCTTTCCGCCATGCTCCTTCCTAGACAGTCACTTCCCATCTTGTATGTATGGAACTGATTGTTCCTTCCTAAGTGGAGCACTTTGCATTTCTCTTTATTAAACCTCATCCTGTTTACCTCTGACCATTTCTCTAACTTGCTAAGGTCATTTTGAATTATGTCCCTATCCTCCAAAGAATTTGCAACCCCACCCAGTTTGGTATCATCTGCAAACTTAATAAGCGTACTCTCTATCCCAATATCTACATCATTGATGAAGATATGGAACAGTACGGGTCCCAAAACAGACCCTTGCGGAACTCCACTTGTTATCCCTTTCCAGCAGGATTTAGCACCGTTAACAACAACTCTCTGACTACAGTTATCCAGCCAATTATGTACCCACCTTATTGTGGCCCTATCTAAGTTAGATACTTGCAATCAAAGTAACATGGAAATTAATTAAAAAAAAAGTAGGTTGCTTGTGAGCAACCAACAGAAGAAACTGGAATACCCATCCCATCCCCACCCTATGGATATTGTACCTATACGGTGGTCTACGTTTCTCTCCTGCATACTGGAAAAGGTCATCGGTGAAAAACTTGGGTACTTTGTAGTCTTCCAGGAGTTTCCTGCGCTTAGGGTGCTCTCCATAGCTGCTGTCAAAGATGTAGAGGGGACTGTCATCACGTGTAGTCTCCATATACTCTATGTAATATTTCATCTTCATCTTCACAGAGTACCCATCATTGTCCTCACCACACTTGAACTTCTGGTTTCTGTACTTGCGCTTCAAGCGTTCTAGAGTCCACTTCTCTTGGGCAGACCAGCCCATCTGAGCATTCAACAGGACTACAGGCTTATAAGGCTTTTCATATCGCTCAACAAATTCTTCCACCGATAAGTGGAGGGCATCTGCCCTTTCCACATTATCCTGTAAAATAAAGGAGTAGTTGGGAAGGAGAACTTCAGTGAACTACAAACTATCCTAATCATCACAGGCCAAGTTTCTAAAAATTGGTGTCTAAGGTTATGTCTGCACTACAGCCCTAGTAACACAGTGTAGTCATTTCCTACAGGAACAGACTAAGGATGTCAACATCTAGACCAGTAGTGCTCAACCTTTTTTCATTCACGACCCCCAGAGCCAGGAAAATTTCTGTTGAGAAAAAAAACAAATGCTGGGAACATTTTGTTGCAGTCCCTTTAATTTAAAGCACAGGTCTGCTCCCCTGTCACTTCCCCCGCATGTACATGGGGCACCTAGCTGGGAAAACAAAATGCCGGACAGACTGGATCTAAGCGCTGCGACTCCCCCTGGAAAATGGCTGCAACCCCCAAGGGTCACGGGTTGCGCACCGCTGATATAGATGACTGCGCGATTAACTGATAAGCCTGGGTTTATTGGTTAATCTTGTTGACTACATGCACTCCCCCTCCCACTCTATATCAGAGGCAGCGAGGGGAAGAGGGGAAGGTGGAATCTGGTGCCCGTGAGGAGCCAGCTTTTAAGCTGGCTCCCCACAAGCACTGGATCCTATGGAGCTGCCACCTCCTCACTCCCCTGCGCTGCTGCTTCTCATAGAGAGGCAGTAATGCAGAAGGGTGAGGGCGGGGAAGGCAGGAGCTGGTACACATTAAGGATGTTAAATACCAACTAATCAATTGGCAATGCATTTGCATCGACTATTCGATTAGTCGATAAGAGTGCCTCCCTAGGGCTGTTGCTATACTTCAAAGGCTAAAGTGCCGCAAGGCACTCGGGGTCAGCTGGAGACTCCCCCGCTGACCCCAGGCTCCACATGGCTCTGCCACTTTGAAATGCTGCAGGAAGCCCAATGTCAGGTTCCTAGCAGCATCTCAAAGTGGCAGTGCTGAGGACGCAGCACTACTGCTTTGAAACACTGTGAGGAGCCCAGCATCGGGCTGCACATGGTATTTCAAAGCAGCAGTGCTGCATGGAGCCCGGCGTCTGGCCCCAGGCTCCAAGCAGAGCTACCACTTTGAAGTTCCCCCTCCTTTTCCCCCACCCTTGCTGCCTCTTTCAGATAGAGGGAGGGGGGAACTAGTTGACCAGCCTGTCAACTATCTTGATAAGTATTTGTTTATCAGATAGTCGACTAGTCTTTCACATCACATCCCTAGTACATGCGGGAAGCAAGTTTCAAGCTAGCTCCCCGTGCATATTGGCTCTTGCTGCTATCAGAGGCAGCAGCATGAGGAGGCAAGAGGGAGCGGATACACATAGACAGCTCCCCTCAAGCACCAACTCCACCTGCCCCCACCCTGGGCTACTGACTTTATCAGAGGCAGGGGGGAGGGAGGGAAGGCAGAGGAGTCTGCTGTGGAACAGCCTCTGTCCGCAGCCAGCTCAGGCTCACCACGGACAGAGGCTGCTCCATGGGATGCTGAAGCATCCCTGCAGACAGGGGCTGCTGTGTGTGGAGGGGGGGGGAGGGTAAAGTAGGCAGTTCCATGAGAGTGAGGCTGGGAGCACAGTGACTGCCGGCCCCACCTCTGGGGACTATCAAATAATCGTGTAACCATTAAAATTTGATGAATGTTATGACAATTCAGTTACACAATATCTAACATCCTTAGACAGAACAGGTTTTTCTATTGCTGTAGGTCATTAAGATTCCCAAACAGCGACAGCTAGGTTGAGGGAAGCATTCTTCTGTCAACCTAGCTACGTCTAACTGTTCTTTACACCCCTGAGTGCTGTAGCTATGTCACCCTAATTGTAAGTGTAGGCCAGGCCCAAGAGGCAGCTGATAAATTTACATGAGCTAGCCCTACACTTGTATTCAAATCTAGAGGACATGGAGATATTAGGCATACTGCATGCAATTTTAGCCTTCCCTGCACAATACTGTGGTGTTGGACCCAACTGTACTAAGCCTCTGTCCCTGCTCCTATGTACATTACTAATAACATAAGAAACATACATGAGCATATTTAAATTTTGCTTAATGCTCTTCACGGTAGAGGTGACCCAAGATTCACAAAGGATGAGGAAAGCCATAGCCTGAAGCCTGGCAAAAAGTTACCCCTGCACAGAATTTTACTCTGTTAGTTATGATGTGAGATATCTATTTCATCCTCCTCGAGGCCATGGAGAAGAGATTTGGAAGCTACCTTTGAATTAAGTGGGCATGCCTGTGCAGAGTAAAAATACACACCAACTATAGGCACCCAGAGGTTTTCCCAAGTCCCTTGTCAACAATCACGGTTTTAGTACTTCCCCCCCTCCGCCCTCCACCCTTCAAGTCTCCCCTTCAGGTCTTCCTCAAATGTTTCTATGCCTCGAGGCCATGGAGAAGAGATTTGGAAGCTACCTTTGAATTAAGTGGGCATGCCTGTGCAGAGTAAAAATACACACCAACTATAGGCACCCAGAGGTTTTCCCAAGTCCCTTGTCAACAATCACGGTTTTAGTACTTCCCCCCCTCCGCCCTCCACCCTTCAAGTCTCCCCTTCAGGTCTTCCTCAAATGTTTCTATGAACTTCCCACGCTCTTTCGATCACCTATTTCAATTCTGTAGGAGTAAAAAAATCATGCTGCACGAGAGCATTAACCAGGTGACAATAGCACTTTTCTATTTACAAGCATTTTCCCTTCCTTTAACCCACTTACTGCCCATTATCTACAGCTCCTACCACCACATTCTTCCATACTCCATCAAAAATGTGCCTGAGGAGCTTCCAGGAAAGGGAGAGCTCCATCAGACCTGAATCCTAGGGTTCACTGAAGAGCAGCAGGAGGCACTCCCTCCTCCTTTTTCCTCAAGGTAAGGAGGAAGTTACTTCTATTAAGAAGGACATGAGATGCATACCAACCCTTTTCCATGATTTGGTCAGTCTTTGCCCTCTTGTTTGATCCAGTTTAAACTAAAGTTCCTTGGGCCTAGGTGTCGTAGCCACTTCTTAGATGCTTGTGAAGTACCAGCAGCACCTCTAACTGTGAATAATTTGCTGGCTACAGAGGACAATGGCACAGCACCATGCTGCTCTCCCAAGCCAGCCTCTTGCTTTTAGGGAACTACAGAGCCCCACTGCCCCAGCCCTTTTTATAGGTGGGGCAATCAAGAGAGTCTCCTAGCTTCCCCAGAGACGCTCCAGCCCCATGCCTGTGGGGTTTTTCGGTTAATCTCGTCGACCACTCACATTCCCACCTCCTGCTGCCTGCCTCTCTATCAGAGGCAGCAAAGCATGTAATGGCTCCTATAGAGCTGCTTCCCCCCACCTTGTAAACATGTAACCATTGAAATTTTCTCCCCTCATGCTGCTGCCTCTACCAGAGGCAGTAGGGGCAGACGAAGGCAGGGGAGGTTTCTACAGGCATGTCAACAAGAAGAAGGTGATCAGAGAGGGTGTGCAGTCCCTAATGGATGAAGGAGGTAACCTAGTGACAGAGGATGTGGGGAAAGCTGAAGTACTCAATGCTTTCTTTGCCTCTGTATTCACGGACAAGGTCGGCTCCTGGACTTCTGCGCCAAGTGACGCAAGATGGAATGACGATGGACAGCCGGTGGTGGTTAAAGAACAGGTTAGGAACTATTTAGAAAAACTAAACGTACACAAATCCATGGGTCCAGACTTAATGCACCCAAGGGTACTGAAGGAGTTGGCAAATGTCATTGAGGAGCCTTTGGCCATTATCTTTGAAAAGTCGTGGAGATCGGGCGAAATCCCGGATGATTGGAAAAAGGCAAATGTAGTGCCCATCTTCAAAAAAGGGAAGAAGGACGATCCAGGGAACTATAGGCCGGTCAGTCTTACCTCGGTTCCTGGAAAAATCATGGAAGGGATCATAAAGGAGTCCATTTTGAGACACTTGAATGAGAGGAAAGTGATCAGGAATAGTCAGCATGGATTCACAAAGGGCAAGTCGTGCTTGACCAATCTGATTAGCTTCTATGATGAGGTAACTGGCTCAGTGGACATGGGAAAGTCAGTGGATGTTATATACCTTGACTTTAGCAAGGCTTTTGATACGGTCTCCCACAATATTCTTGCCAGCAAGTTAAGGGAATGCGGATTGGATAAATGGACGGTAAGATGGATAGAAAGATGGCTAGAAGGCCGGGCCCAGCGGGTAGTGATCAACGGTTCGATGTCAGGATGGAGGTCGGTTTCTAGTGGAGTGCCCCAAGGTTCGGTTCTAGGACCGGTTTTGTTCAATATCTTTATTAATGACCTGGATGAGGGGATAGATTGCACCCTCAGCAAGTTTGCAGATGACACTAAGCTAGGGGGAGAGGTAGATACGCTTAAGGGCAGAGATAGGGTCCAGAGTGACTTAGACAAATTGGAGGATTGGGCCACTAGAAATCTCATGAGATTCAACAAAGACAAGTGTAGAGTCCTGCACTTGGGACGGAAGAATCCCAAGCATAGTTACAGGCTGGGGACCAACCAGTTAAGTAGTAGTTCTGCAGAAAAGGACCTGGGGGTTACAGTGGATGAGAAGCTAGATATGAGTCAACAGTGTGCCCTTGTAGCCAAGAAGGCTAATGGCATATTAGGATGCATTAAGAGGAGCATTGCCAGCAGATCCAGAGATGTCATTATTCCCCTTTATTCGGCTTTGGTGAGGCCACATCTGGAGTACTGTGTCCAGTTCTGGGCCCCCCACTACAAAAAGGATGCGGACGCATTGGAGAGGGTCCAGCGGAGGGCAACCAAAATGATTAGGGGTCTGGAGCATATGACCTACGAGGAGAGGCTGAGGGACTTGGGTCTGTTTAGTCTGCAGAAGCGAAGAGTGAGGGGGGACTTGATAGCAGCCTTCAACTTCCTGAAGGGAGGTTCCAAAGAGGATGGAGAGAGGCTGTTCTCAGTAGTGACAGATGGCAGAACAAGGAGCAATGGTCTCAAGTTGTGGTGGGAGAGGTCCAGATTGGATATTAGGAAAAACTATTTTACTAGGAGGGTAGTGAAGCATTGGAATGGGTTACCTAGGGAAGTAGTGGAGTCTCCATCCCTAGAGGTGTTTAAGTCTCGGCTTGACAAAGCCCTGGCCGGGTTGATTTAGATGGGATTGGTCCTGCCTAGAGCGGAGGGCTGGACTTGACGACCTTCTGAGGTCTCTTCCAGTTCTGATTCTATGATAAGGGGATGGTTGGATGAAATAACATGATCTTGGTAACTAATTGACCATTCATTTCCAGTTGGAAATAGGTCAATGGAGGGATGATAGGAGTTGCTATAGGGAACTTTCTGGGTGTCTGGCTGGTGAGTCTTGCCCACATGCTCAGGGTTTAGCTGATCGCCATATTTGGGGTCAGGAAGGAATTTTCCTCCAGGGTAGATTGGCAGAGGCCCTGGAGGTTTTTCGCCTTCCTCTGTAGCATTGGGCACAGATCACAGCTGAAGGACTCTCTGCATGTTGGGGCCTTCAAAGTATTGGAAGGCTTCAATATCTGAGACATAGGTGAGAGGATTATTCTAAGAGGGGTGGGCGAGATTCTGTGGCCTGCACTGTGCAGGGGGTCAGACTAGATGATCATAATGGTCCCTTCTGACCTTAAAGTCTATGAGTCTATGAAAATCAGGATCTAAGAATAATGAGTATGTGTCTAAATCAGAACAAAATATTTGAAACAAGACCCCAGAGGTAAACATCCCTTATTTTGCACTCAATGTTCAAAAGCTGTGTGTGTTATGAGGAAAAAACCCTAAATTTAATGTATAAATTAAATCTGCCTCAAGCTCTCCAGCTGCTTTACTTGACAGATAGGCACTTATCCATATGCAGCACATCTTACTGAAACTGGCAGCACTGAAGGGTTAATAACATTTACTCAGTTGTTCAAGTTTTCTGCTATATTTGGAACAGTAGAATTTCTTCCCCAGCAATTATGCACATTTTCGCCTAATAAACTGTTTTTCCTAAAAATTGTAGCACAAAATCCCTTTTATTTTAACCTACAAAGTGCTAGCACCTTGTTCAAGTGGTTGAGCCCCTGAGCATCCACTGAACTTCGAGAAATTTCACCCCTGCCGCTACCTCTACCTCAGCAAGACGGCGGCCCGCCCACGAGCGCCGCGGCGCCATCCTATTGGCCAGCCCATCCCTGGCAACGATTGGCCTTGCCAGACCCTGACAGGTGGGGTCCTTGCCGCCATCTTGGGAAGGAAACGTCAGAGGCAGGGGAGGTTCCTCTTCCACCCTCCCTTCTTTTGCTCTGCACGCCACTTCTCCCCCCTTCTTTCTGCTCGCCCTGGG